TTTTTTAATGATTAGGATGAGAACGTTTATTAAAACCACATTTACCACATATACTACATTTAACTTCTTTTCTTTTTCCTTGTTTTTTGGTTAGTTTTCTGTTTTGTTTATCTTCTTGTTTTCTCTTATATCGACCAATTTCAATATGTGTATGTTTGTTAAAACCTAACATTCTAACATTGTCTTTTTTACATATTGAACAACTTTTTTGATTTTTTGGTATTGTTAACAATACACCCACAACATCTTTTGCGAATATATTATTAATAATTAATAAAACAATAAAAAAAATAAATAAATTTTTTTAACTTCCATTTTTTTTAAACAAAAAAAAATAAACTACTGATTTATTTATATTGAATTTAAATTAATTAGAAATAAATATTGTGACTATTTTTTTTTGACCGATTTTTTGCTCTTCTTTTTGATGTTTTCACGGATGCTTCTTTTGGTTTATGCACACTCTCATATGTATTTCCATAACGTACATAAATCCTACCTTTATAATTATTTGTAATTTTACCATTTTTATTAAGGATCATCTTATATTGTCCTGTTTTAAAATCCCACGTATATAATTTTGGAAGTTTAACCCCAACAATAATATCATCATCTTGTGCCAATACTCTTAATGATAAAAATAAAATGAATATAAATATATATCTCATAATGTCGATCACCAATCTTAATACTACTAACGAATGATTTAAATTCTATTTATAGTTTTTGTTTATCAGAATCATCTCTTCTCTTTCGTCCACGTTTTTGATTATTTTGAATTGTTTTATAAACAATTTTATTTTTCAAACATTGTTCACAGGGTCTTTTCTCATTACATTTTATTTTTTTGTCGACAAAACAAACAAGCTGAAAAAACATTTAACTTTCTCATTGTTTATATTTTTATTTAAACTGTCTTTTGTCTTTTTTATTTTTTTTAAATCGTTAAAATTTAATATTTTTATTGGTTCATTATTTAGTGAATGAAATTGCTAAATCAAGTAAATCATAAAAAAAATCTTACAAATTTTATTGGTTCAGTAAATTTACTAAATCAGGTATATTAAAAATCTTTTAATGAATGAAATTCTAATTTTGAAATTCAAATCGAAATTCTTATCTAGAACCAATCAAAATTAATATTAAAAAAAAAATAACTATATTTTAATTTATTATACATAAATAAATCTGCATTGAAAAATTATTTTTATTGGTTCATTATTTAATGAATGAAATTACTAAATCAAGTAAATCATAAAAAAATCTTACAAATTTTATTGATTATTCATTAAATTTACTAAATTGGATATATTAAAAAAACTTTTAATGAATGAAATTCTAAATTTGAAATTCAAATCGATATTATTGATAAATATGAAAAAGAAATTGAACGAATTGAAATAAGAAAAAACATGAATATGAATATAACGAAAAATTGAAAAAAAAAGATAAAACTCATAAACATGAAAAAGAAGAAAGAGAAAGAACATATAAATGTTAACTTTATTTGAATTATATATTCTTTATTGTCAGAAAACATAATTTGTTTTTTCTTTTTTTTTTTAATTACTTGAACTTCAGAATCAGATTTAGACATTAATAATTAAAATTATATAAAAAAAATCTAATCGGTTTATAAACTGATTAGATTATATTTAAACTTTTTGGTGTTTTCATTCTCTCTAAACCATGTAAGATCTGTTTTCTTAATTGTGCAAACTTCAACTTGAGACATTATCAAATAATACTTAAAAAAAATCTAATTGGTTTAAAACTGGTTAGATGAGCTTTTTTTGGCTTGCCACTGGCCTCGCAATTGCTTATGTATGGGTTGTGTTTTTTTATATTTACTATAAGTGAATCATCATTTGATTTGAATTTTTGACTGGGTCCCCCACCCCCCCCAGTCGCCAATACGAATCGCATTTTGATTCTTGTAAATTAATAAAAAATATTTTTTCATCAATAACTTTATTTTTTATTTAACTTTATTAAAAAAAAAAATAAACTATTTGAAATAATCTTTGATAGTATTTTTACGTTCTGGTAGAATTAATTCAACATCTGGTTTTTTTGAACCTAAATATGCAAGTCTGTCCGCTTGTTCATTTCCATAAATACCACTATGTTCTTTCACATGTTTTAAATATGTTTTTCCTTCACGTTCCTTGATTAAATCATTGAATCTATTAACTAAATCAAAATTAGTTTGTGGTTTTTTAACATCTCTAGAGATGATAATATAATTGCTATCAGTATTTATAATTAAATTTTCTTTCTTGTCACAAATTTCAAGAGCTCTAATCACAGCATAGATTTCTGCACGATTGTTAGTTGACATTCGTCAGGTAATCGTTCAGATAGATTTCTATTATTGTTATCTCCAAAAAATACACCAATACCTCCAATAGCATCTGATAAACTATTTCTTTTACAGTATCCATCTGTCCAAACATTTAACTTGTTTTTAACTTCGATATTTTGTTGATCTATAAAATTCTGAGCCTCGATCTTTGTATAAAATGATTTATACAAAGCTCCAGGATAACTTTTTACATAATTTTCACATTTTTTCCATGATAAAAAGATACCTGTTTTTCTTCCTTTAGCAATAGCATAATATTTTATTGATGATATTTTCGGTATCTGGATTTATAGCATAAATAATTCAAGTAAATGAATCACAATTATGAAAACTAGTCAACAAACAACCCACACATGAAGTTGCTGAGTTAGCAGAAAATGAGAGTTAGTAAAAGTTATTATATAAAGTAAAGATTATTACAGATCGTGAATCTCTCTCACCTTAAAATTTTTTTAGTATTAAAAAATAAGAAAGTATCGGGTTTAAATAGAAATTTGATGCTAAGCCACAAAATTTGTTAATTATGAAAAAATCTAATTGGTCGAAACTAATCAGACGATTTTATTATATAAAATAAAAAAATAACTCTTAAAAAAATATACTATTGATTTAATCAAATCATCATTCTAAATTTAGGTGATCATTTCTCACAAATCTCGTGAAACCTTTTTGAAAGAGAATTCCTGATAAATTCCAATTTTTCCTCTTTTGGCAACAGCATAATATTTTACTTATTTACTTTTATCATAAGGGTAAAAAATTTAAATATATAGTATAATATATAGTAAAATACAAAACAAAGAAAAAAAGCTTTAGAAAGTTCGATTAAACATAAAGATAGGTTTGAACCGATTTCGATTTCAACCATTTTTTACAAACTAATTTGATATCTTTATTGTTGAATAAAATAAATTCTACTTGGTTTAAACTGAGTAGAGAATAAGCAAATAGTTAATTAAATTCTAGTAAAATACATGTTTGATAATATATATTGTGTTTTGGTACTTGACAATTTCTTCTAACACTACAAATAATTCAACTGTTTGTATTTTTAAAGTATAATCAAATTCAGATTTTGTTGGTATACGAAGTGATTTTTGCTTTTCCTGAATTGAAATAAATTTTTTAAACGTTTTCTCATCGAATTGAGAAATTTCTTTAAGAAAATTGATTATGTTTTCTGATTGCTAATTTGTTTGATAAAATTTTTGTATCAAAGAGAAAATGTTGCAAGTGATAATGTTGTGATCATATTTTATGTATCTCATCTTTAAATGGCTCTCCAATCTGATAAATTTATTATTTTAACTTGTGTTTGTTTAGGACAATTATAAAAACAATTTTGACAAAGTTGGTGATAATGTGTAAGACTTATAAGTGATAATGTGTTAAAAAGATCTACCACTAAATTTGAGTCATTCGTGTGATTTCTTCTGAAAAAACACGAATCAATATCACATCGATTATTAAAAATATTACAAGAAC